ATCCACAGGTAATAGGCAAAAGTAGGTCACTTTGGCCATTATTTCATGCTACACTTGCTTTGGTCATATCTTACATACTGTGACGTACACCAGTGCTATCACATTGGAATCAATTATTCATTAATTGTTCTCCACTCTGAAGATTTGAGTAAATTGTTTTTAATATTAGTTAAAATGTCACGGTGTGAAGTTCTTATAATTGGAGATGTAAAACATACCTCCCAAACTACAAATGCAAAAAAAAAAAGTAAATTGTTATCTTTATATCTGTACATAAGCCTTTTATTCATCATGTTCAGAGACCCTTTGAAATATTGAAAACTAGTAATTTCTATTACATAAAATAGTTAAAAGTTGTATAATCAATCTATATCCTGTATATCAAGACAAATACATTTCATATATTTAAGTTTAGACTTGTAATAAGGGATTTCTAAAGTCCCTACCAATTGTTTCATTGATTATTTAACAAAGACTTAACATTTTAATGGATTTTTACTAAAACTGTTAAAGATTTCACAAATTCACTGTAAAATATGAATATATATGTGTCAAAAAATCAAATTGTAGAAAAAATGAAAAAAAAAAACAAAAAACAAAAACATATTAATAAAATAACAGAAAAGAAACAAATGATAAAATACACGTAGTTCTATCAATAGTGGTTTTATGTCATAAGTATGGTACTGTTTGACAGGTCACAGGTTATTGTAGATTACTTGAGCAAAGTAAATCATGTACATGATGACACAGGTAATTGCTGTGATTACCTGAGCAGAGTAAATCGTGTGTATGATGAAGATATGCAATACAAGTTCCTTGGAGCGTACAGTGTTATACATGAATCGGTCTAGGTATCCACCTTATCGATATTTATTCCAATTTGGAAAAGTTTTTAAATTACACAAATCTTTCAAACCAGTTGAAGCTATCTGGGGCCCTGTTTAAACAATGTACTGTGCATAAATGTTTTCAAAGAGTTATGTTTAATCAATTGTAAACACTTTAAACAAAGCATTTTCTTACTTTAATTTGTGTTTAAAAAATTGGATCATAAACTATACAAATTTAAAAATGTTCACTTTCTACACCTTTTTCGCCCTCAGCTCATTACTGATGACCTTTATTCTTGCGTCACTTGACTCAAACAAGAATTTGTCTAAGTGACTGTTTTTTTTCCGGATTGGACTAAATAGCGATAATGTGTATTGAGACCATGGGCATTTCAATGGCTAGAGCTGTTCATTCTTCGATAACGATGGAATTATCTCCAGGTTCAATGTATGTTAGTGTTTTCGAGACATGTGCTTATTTTATTTTTATTTTTTCGTTTTTTTCAATTGAATAATTACTATTTAAAACGTGTATAAACCCTTTTTAAGAATTCGAACATTAAAGGAAAATAAATACATAAGACATGTTTTATTAATTTTATCTATATATTCATTAAATAAAACTTGTATTCCCAGCAACATGTTAAAGATGTCGTTAAATCCGTTTTGATACGATGTGACAGTGTCTAAACGCACTAGCTACATTGTTACGCGGTCTTAAATCGTCTGAGGTATAATTTAACCGATTGTGTCCTAACCCGATGGTGACATTTGTAATGAGTGTGATTCACATAGCGTGCAATACATACATAGCAGGATATACTTATCTGTCGACACACCAGGTCCCTCTCCTTGTTCTAGGCGTTTTTGCGATTCCCTCAGTTTTGGTTTGTGACCTTTATTTGTTTCTTCTAGATCGTTTTACTAGATTTGAACATTGGTAAACTACTGTCGCCTGAATTTAGCAAAATTTGAAATTTTACAGGTTTAGGTAAAATTGTCCATCGAAGGATTTCTTTTTTTCAAATTGAGTTATTGTTTATCCGGAAGACAATAATTGTTTATACTAGTTAAGAAAGAAAGACTTTTGTTGTTTTTCAAAATGGCCCTGATTAAAGATAAATACGCGGTTGATGTCTAGAAAGGAGGCTTCGATGATAGAACCGAATGTCAATTCTAAAAACCTTAAATCCGGTGTATGTATTAGATATAGTCATCTTATCAATGAAAGGACTGTATCATATTTAATCAGAAGTAATACATGATTATTTCATCTTTTCTCTTATTCTTAAAGCAGCAAATAGTTTCAATAAAACAAGATCAGTTACACTTTCAGAAGATGTTTTGTAGTTAACTATTTGGAATAAAATCCTAATTATTTCTATTCTTATGTCATCATATGGAATTTTTGACATTTTTTCCTGTTATGTCTGTTTTGTTTGCCCACACATTGTTGTCAATATAATGGAATTATATATGCGACTGTCATACAAGTGAAAGGTTTAGCTAGCTTTAAAATCAGGTTTAATCCACCATTTCCTATATACGGAGATACCTGTACTAAGTTAGGAATATGACAGTTGTTTTCTATTCGTTTGTGTTGTTTGAGCTTATGACGTTGCCATTTGATAAAGGACTTTCCATTTTGAATTTTTTATAGAGTTCGGTATTTTTTTTTATTTTACTTTTTTTCAGATACCTTATCACTGCTTTTGGATGACAATGTAAAAAGCTGTTCTTTCTTGTCTTTTTCTGGTTTAATTGCCCAAGCCAAATTGTTTTTATGTTGAAAGATAAAACTTCTTTGTAAATATCAAAATTCACGCTAGGTTGGTACAAATGCATTGTGAGACAGGTTTATTGTGTCCTTCACAATTTGGTCTACCATTACACAGTAAGCGAATTCGAGATCACTGGAAAACACAAACGTTTCTTAAATGTACTTCTATCGTTCATTTGATGTTTATCACCTCATGTTACCGATGAGTAAAAATAAATTTTTCAAAGGGGAATTACTGGGTTTTTGTCCGGAAGTGGCAGGTAATAATATATTCTACGTACGAGTTCAGATGTCCCTGTTGTCGATTCGATGCTCTCAAATTTGGATTCTATCAAAAGGATTTTGAATGCAGCTGGATATAAAAACAAACCCATCAACTTGATAAAGTTGACAGCATGTATACAAGAGAGTGTAAGTTTGAAAAATAAATGTTGGTTTGTTTGGTAGGTAGCCATGCAGTCCTATCATATAAGTTTTCGTAGGTCCACATCGTTTGCTTTCAACGTTTTTATCGGCTATATTTTTGTTACCATCAATGCTGAACCACGAAGTCTTATTCGAAGTCACTGTTATCTCGACAAAAGTTTCCAACCAATATGTGAGAGAACTTTAAATGACCATTTGTATATGTTTTCAATAAACTTAAGTTTATTTTTGTCATTATTTTTATAGTTTAACATGTAAAATATTACAAAACGTGTTTTACACTATCAGATGGTGGAGTTTGAATACTAAGTGTGAGGTAAACTGCAATGAAACAACAATCCAACGACAAAACTATCGAAAGAGAGTAACATACAATTTGACATTACACAGTAGTTTTGCAAGTTTCAGATCGTACCAAGTCTTACATACAGCTAACAGATATCAACAACGAAACAAAACCATATTCTCTTCTCTAAATAAAGTGACCATTAAGGAGAAAGTCTAAAAATAGTAATGGTAATAATTTATTTATTAACAATCTTTTTGAAAACGGATTTTTTAGTTATCAAAGTGAAATTCCTCACGAGCAATTAAGCATCAGCATAAAATCAATTGCCAGAGCTGGCAAGAAAACAAGTCTTTCAAAAACGAGTCCATATAACGGGGGATTGGGCGAGCCAATCTTCATTTACCCGTAAACACTTTAAATTTTATTGGTGTTTCCATTATTGAAAACACAGATTATAAGATCACCCGAGGGGTTCGTCTTGCTCAGTCTTTGTTTTCAATGTTGTGTTTTGTGAACTTCTGTCTGCTTTGTCGTCGTTTTTCATTCCTTTGCCATGGGTTTGATAGTTTTGTTTTCGACATGCGAGTTTGATTGTCCCATTGGTATCTTTCGCTTCTCAATTGGTTTTATGGATAAAAATAAATTGAAATCATTTTACGAAAACTACATTTATTGTTTTATTGATGGTGTAAATGTTTAAATGTCGGATAGCTTGTGATTTCCTTTACTGTATTCACAAAAGTGACTGCAGAATAGAATTATGGTCACTTTGAACTTTTTCCCACCGGCAGCACAGTCCTTTCCAAAGTGGGGCGTCCGTTTGGCTGGGTTGTATTAGTAAGCAGTCACATCCGTTCAAAATGTGGATTGAATTAAAACCGATGCATTGTGTAGAGATAAGGCTACGCTCTCTGCACGTTCAGAACCTTTGCAACAACTTTTACCATGATCATTACATTTAATTAAAAAATATGAACAATACATAAATTTATAATCCAATATACTACAATAACCAACACATACTGACACAAACAAATAAAAATTTCATTACCATATTTTGACAAATTACTAACAAAATCCTATACTACATTGAACTAGAATTCTATTAACATTTTCTCTTACATATAAAATCATTATACAACATATTATCACTTCACGATCAATTTCTAAAATTGCTTATATAAATATGAAATTTGATTTAAAACAATAAAATTAAAAACGAATTATTACCCTTTCAGCATTAACCAAAGAAACAATATATTTAAAAACTAGATAATTACCTAATGACAAATAGATGAAAAATAATAACCTCAATAAAAGATTATGGAACTCCATGAAATTGTAACACAAGGTACAGTGTAGCGCCAACCGTTATTGTAAATGGTTTTGGCAGATATTATACAAATATCAATTAAAGTCAAAGTAATAAAATTGTTTTGAAGTCCAAACTTTGGATAATCAAGAAATAAGATTTGTTTAAATAAATAAAAGCAGCTTTATTAAAAGCTAATATCATTAACAATAGTTATTAATAAATCAATTAAATAGAATTGCAGTGTGTGCCAAAATACCTGAATAAATAATTCTGGGTCACTGTCTGAAACTCAGCTGTTCGCCAGCGGCTATAATTTGAAACTGACTATACTTTTCTCTAAACGTTTGAAAGATCAAGTTAATCAATACATCTAAAAATAGTACGCGTGTACACAATTGTGAAAGTAAACCAAAATGGCCTTTAACTTGACAAGTATGATTTTGGATAATTCTAACATTATAAAAGGATAACTATGGATAAAATAGGATGCATTAATAACTTCTGAATAAGGTAATTATGTTGTAACTATAGAAAATCATTCTGCATAACAAGCAAGTGTACAAAAGTGAAAATATGTATGACCTAGTTTCGCGGAAAATATACACCGGGAAATACAAATGAAAAGCAATCAATGAAGGTTATTATTAAAAGAATACTGTAAATAATCGTGGCACAACATACAGTACCACAAAAACTGTATAGGAAATGCAAGAAGTAAGAACTAAAAAAGCACCAAAAACAAGCATTATTTTTTTTAATTCAACATAATAACTCGTGTATAAGTGTATGACTCTCTATGAAATTGTACCTGCAGGTAACATACCTGACAGGAAACTTGTGATTGATTCTGGGAGGTATGGGTCGAACCGTTGAAGAATTCAATACCAAAAAGGGTCCCCAAACCCAAAATTTTCTATATTCAAAACAATAAGTTGAGTATAACTCTATAAATCTCTATGAAATTGAATCACAATCATACATAGCATACCAGAAAAGTTGGAATTGATATAGGAAACAAGGACCCAAAACTACACTTTAATAGTAGTTTATATAAATTGCTTATTGTGTTTTATCAAGTGAACCCTTTAAAAACTTAGCTTATTTTATTCATCAATATATAAATTATTTAAATTCTTGATGTACTGTAATATGCTGAATTAAATTCTGTACTTACATGAATATTGGACCATAATAGATAACAAAAATGTCAGTTCTTTTACCACATTCATTCTGTGTCAGAAACCTATGTTGTGACAAATATTTAATCACAGTCCAAATTCAGAGCTGTATCGAGCTTGAATGTAGTGTCCATACTTGCCACCACCGTTCAGAGTTCGACCTCTGCGGTCGTATCAAGCTGCACCCCAGCGGAGCACTTTTTTTAAAATTTACTCTTGTTTCATTATTAAGTACTGGATGATAAAGTTATGACATTCTGTTTAGGCTATTTTTATCAAGAGTATTAAGCACAGACCATTTTGATAAGCTACATGTTTTTTTTTTTTTGTATATTTGATTCAGTGTATTGTATTGTATCGTCTAACTAATAATGTGTACTTTTCTATGTTTTATTGGTGTATAACTTATATCTATTTATGTACCTGCAGGGTTATTGTTTATACTGTCATAATAAAAGTATTGACATGTAATTTAGTCTGCTCTACCGCCTACTTTACCGTACTACATTCATTATACAAAACTGAATGTTATTGTGAAAAGTTTAAGAAATTTATTTGTATACTGGACTTATTTTTCTGGCAAACTTTATAATATGGACTTTCATAAAATGGAAGCTTGAATTTCATTATTCTCTGAGACATTCATTGTCATCATTGTACGAGGGTTAAATAACATTGTGTGATGATTCCTACTCCTACACAAACGGGTGTAAAATAACATTGTGTGATGACTCTTACTCCTACACAAACGAGTATAAAATACCATTGTGTGATGATTCCTACTCCTACACAAACGATTGTAAAATAACATTGTCTGATGACCCCTACTCCTACACAAACGAGTGTAAAATAACATTGTGTGATGACTCCTTCTCCTACACAAACGAGTGTAAAATAACATTGTGTGATGACTCCTACTCCTACACAAACGAGTGTAAAATAGCATCGTGTGATGACTCCTACGCCTACACAAACGAGTGTAAAATAACATTGTGTGATGACTCTTTCTCCTACAAACGAGTGTAAAATAACATTGTGTGATGACTCCCACTCCTACTAAAACGAGTGTAAAATAACATTGTGTGATGACTCCTACTCCTACACTAACGAGTGTAAAATAACATTGTGTGATGACCCCTACTCCTACACTAACGAGTGTAAAATAACATTGTGTGATGACTCCTACTCCTACACAAACGAGTGTAAAATAATATTGTGTGATGACTCCTTCTCCTACACAAACGAGTGTAAAATAATATTGTGTAATGACTCCTACACCTACACTAACTAGTGTAAAGTAATATTGTGTGATGACTCCTACTCCTTCACAAACAAGTTAAAAATAACATTTTGTGATGACTCCTACTCCTACACAAACGAGTGTAAAGTAACATTGTGTAATGACTCCTACTCCTACACAAAAGAGTGAAAAATAACATTGTGTGATGACTCCTACTCTTACACAAACGAGTGTAAAATAACATTGTGTAATGACTCCTACGCCTACACAAACGAGTGTAAAGTAACATTGTGTGATGACTCCTACTCCTACACAAAAGAGTGTAAAATAACATTGTGTGATGACTCCTACTACTTCACAAATGAGTTTAAAATAACCGCCTACTTTACCGTACTACATTCATTATACAAAACTGAATGTTATTGTGAAAAGTTTAAGAAATTTATTTGTATACTGGACTTATTTTTCTGGCAAACTTTATAATATGGACTTTCATAAAATGGAAGCTTGAATTTCATTATTCTCTGAGACATTCATTGTCATCATTGTACGAGGGTTAAATAACATTGTGTGATGATTCCTACTCCTACACAAACGAGTGTAAAATAACATTGTGTGATGACTCCTACTCCTACACAAACGAGTATAAAATAACATTGTGTGATGATTCCTACTCCTACACAAACGATTGTAAAATAACATTGTGTGATGACCCCTACTCCTACACAAACGAGTGTAAAATAACATTGTGTGATGACTCCTACTCCTACACGAACGAGTGTAAAATAACATTGTGTGATGACTCCTACTCCTACACAAACGAGTGTATAAAAGCATCGTGTGATGACTCCTACGCCTACACAAACGAGTGTAAAATAACATTGTGCGATGACTCTTTCTCCTACAAACGAGTGTAAAATAACATTGTGTGATGACTCCCACTCCTACTGAAACGAGTGTAAAATAACATTGTGTGATGACTCCTACTCCTACACTAACGAGTGTAAAATAACATTGTGTGATGACTCCTACTCCTACACAAACGAGTGTAAAATAATATTGTGTAATGACTCCTACGCCTACACAAACTAGTGTAAAGTAATATTGTGTGATGACTCCTACTCCTTCACAAACGAGTTTAAAATAACATTTTGTGATGACTCCTACTCCTACACAAACAAGTGTAAAGTAACATTGTGTAATGACTCCTACTCCTACACAAAAGAGTGAAAAATAGCATTGTGTGATGACACCTACTCTTACACAAACGAGTGTAAAATAACATTGTGTAATGACTCCTACGCCTACACCAACGAGTGTAAAGTAACATTGTGTGATGACTCCTACTCCTACACAAAAGAGTGTAAAATAACAGTGTGTGATGACTCCTACTACTTCACAAATGAGTTTAAAATAACATTGTGTATTGACTCCTACTCCTATTGATTGTCAGATTTCTTTTGCCAAGAAAATATTTTACACCGATTGATATTTGTAGCTACAAAATTTGAATTCCATTTCTGTTGCAATTTATTTGATTTTTTTTTCCATTTTCAGCAAAAATCTCCGAAAATGATCCATATTCTATATTTAAGAAGAAAAGTAAATATCTGAAAAACAATTTCCTAGACATTTCAAACTTTGGGCTCATTTTCCATTTTTTTCTATTAATACTCCTTAAAAGTAAAACAACAAAAATACCGAACTCCAAGGAAATTCAAAACAGAAAGTCCCTTAACAATTGGCAAAATAAAAAGCTCAAACACATCAAACGTATGGAAAACATCTGTCATATTCCTGACTTGGTACAGGCATTTTCTAAAGTAGAAAATCGTAGATTCAAAACTGGTTTCAAAGCTAGCTTAACCTCTCACTTGTATGACAGCCTAACAAAGACTTAAATACTTACGAAAGGATGTAGTTATGTCAGGTGTAGGAAGTTTTATCAGACGTTCGGACTCCTTGGTTTTTTTCCTACGTCAAATGCTGAAATATTTTGCCCCATATCGACCACTTTTCTCTTCATAAAAGACTTCACTTGCTCATAAAAGCTCATTTAGCAAATTTTTTGCAGACTCTAAATCTCTTTTTCTTACAATTTGATAAGGCATATAGGGTAAAAGTCCGAGTCAGCCTTTTTCCGCCATTTTTAAAGAATTAAATATCTCGAAAAAGAGTTCTATAAACTATCAATCTTTTTAGCTTATTTTGTTCCTCAAATAATGCTCTTCTGATTTATAGTATCAATTTCAAATTCAATATTTCTTAAATTTTACCTAACTACATCCTTAAGAAAGAAAAGACCTGGCTAAATATTGTACTATCCAACCAGATTGACTGTTCCAAATTTGCAACTTGGACTCATGCCAATACTTTTATTGGGTACAAGCTCGTATATATATTTTACTTAATGTGTACTCGGGACATTTGTAGTTGTTTTTGCTTGTTAGATGTAATGGTTTGTTTGATTTTTTTTTTGTTGTTGTTGTTTCTATAAGTTATGTCGGGTGATTTCTTTTTCATTAAAAAATGTATGTTCACTTAAATTTGGTTGCTGGATCCAAATGATTGTTACGTTAACCAAATATGTTTGTTTCGGTTAATAACACATTTTTGTCAATATAACAGAACTATATACAACTGTTTTCAAAAAACGTGTACCAAGTCAGGATATGACAGTTGTTTTCCTGTCGTTCTGATGGTCGATATATTCGATCTTTTTTTTTTGTCAGTTTTCATTGACTTCGATTTTTTTGATTTTTGCTAAATTTCAATTTTAACCTGCTGAAACCCTATATGTCCGAAGTATTTCAAATAATAACTTTATGTACTTGCAATTTAGACACTTGTACAATTGTTTTCTCCAGATTTTTTAAACTGTCCGAGTCTTCCTTATCATGGTCAATGCCCACACTTTATTACGACAAAAGTGTATGACGTAAGGTGATAAAGAAACACCATGTTCTACCACTGGAAAAGCAGTTAAGTATATAAATAAGAAGATTAGATATGATTGCCGATGAGACAACAACCCACCAGAGGCAAAATGACTAAGGTGTACTTTGAGACATTTTGCATTCTTGTGACAATTGTTTTGATTTATAGAACAGCGTTATTGAATTTTAGCCATATGATTTTCTGTAGAACTTGGCCAGATTTGGATGTCTGAATTTTGTCTCGTTTATAAGTACGCTATTAAAAAGAATCGAATTCAAATATAACAAAATCTATAAAAAACCAAAATACAAAGACAGAATGCTGGTATATATACTCATAATGTCCGTTGTGTTTTAGCTTAATGACGCCTTTTTATTTGTGCGAGCTGAACTAAAAGGTGCCTCTCATCAAAACAAAACAAAAATAAATTCCTTGTTAATTAGCGATTACAAACATGTGTTTAACCTTAATCCATAAAACATTGACAAAACCTTTTCATGCATACTAAAATTCGTAAAATTGGAATCAACTAGAAATCAGTTAAAAGTGAGTTTGCGGTATTGAGTATTAAATGATATACTAAAAGGAATTATTAGAACAAGAGTTTTACTCCTTTAAATCTTAACATTTTAGGATGCATTAATGAAAGAGTCCAAAAATGAATACCCCCTCTCTATTCTTAAACATAAAAGTAATGCCATAACGAGAGGCACACATTTTCATCTATAAATTATCCACACAAGTTTATACACAACCATGAAGTCAAAGTAAGTTATCAATCAGAAAATATGTTCATCTGTTATATAGATAATATCTAGGTTATAACTGGAACAACATTATACATCAGAAAGATGTAAATGTCCTGTCCTTATATGCTTATGTTTAACAGTTTTAAAATTCTAATTGTTAACCTTTTAAATTAATACAGTCAAACCTGTTATAAATGTCACCTGTATCATCATGATATCATTTCTATTAAGCGGAATCAGTTCTTATCGGGTCACTCTCAGTCAATATAAATTATGTTAATTCAAAAAGTCATCTCCCTTATAAGGTTCTCATGTTCCGAAATTAACTATTATATACAGGTCTGACTGTTATAACATGTATAACAAAAGGATTGAACTGAAGTCATTAAGTTGCAGGCTAAATGCAACATAAGTTTTAATACTGGGGAAGAGAAATTGTTGGGTGTTTAACTTTTTCTTGCAAATATTAAATTATTATTCATGGCGATAACCTACATGTATAAGTAAACATGTGTCATTCGGGATCTTCAGACGTGATAAAGTTCATATTTCCTTTCAGTGTTTTGAGCAGTCAGTAATAGATTGTCAGATTTATCGTTTCTCTGATTTACACTTTGTAAAGAACCTTCAGTAATAAATAAATAAAAGATTTTCTTGTGAAAAATAGAAAGACACTATCACCAAATTAAGATTAAAAAAGGACAGGAAACAATCATGATAAAAGAATTACAAACAAATAGCAGTAAAAAAATACAATAACACCGAAGACTTAAAGTTAATCCACGCAAATCACTTTTAAAACTGGATGTAACTCATGTACTCCAGAACATAAGAAGTTCCTGTTTAACTGGTGGCATTTTCAGATGATCTTTAATATCCTGCAAATACGTTACAAAGATGTCTAGTTCATTTGTCTTTTATTTGATGTTGATACTGTTAAAATTTAATTTTGTACAAATTCATCTACCCCCTTTTCGTAACAACATAAAAATAAAACATTCCATTCCATTTATGTAAAATCGAAATTTAATTTTTAGCACAGCAAATCGTCCGTCTAAAAAGAAAGAAACTCCTAAATGTATGATGTTGTCTTTTTCTTTACACATTGTATAAACTTATTTTGTTTCATACATGAATTGATTTCTTTACTTGTAACAAATGTAAAACCACAGGATAAACAGATAATATATTTCGTAATATACATAAAATATTTATTCTTCTATGTAGATTGTACACTACATTACATGTTAATGAATTTATCTATACACGACATTAATGTTGTGAGTAGAATAAGGTAAAAAGTATTCACTGGCTAGGTTCATGTGATACGACTGTTGCCAAACCATTTTTCTCAATTCTTTAATTTTAATAATTTGGTAGCATGCCACGGATTGCAGTACTTGGTGCTGGCGTAATTGGATTATCGACTGCAGTTTCTATTAGAAAATCCTTGCCAAGTGCCTCGATTGTAATTATCGCAGACAAGTTTGGCAGCGAAACAACAAGCTATGGTGCAGGGGGACTTTCCATTCCTACAGTTGACAAAGTTCCTGGTGTGCCTAAAGATCTTGTTAGGTAAATATTATATTGTACTCTACATACTTGATTGTAACTCTGTTTATTTGACTTGGGGACAAGTCTGATAAAAACAGACCTGCCATCAGGACACATCCGCCTGACCAAACCAGACCCGAAGACAGGTCAATTTGACCAGACCAGACTTGAAGACAGGTTAGTTTGACCAGACAAGACCTGTGAACATGACTCTGTTAACCTGTTCTGCGGGTCATCGGGACAGGTCTGCTTTTTAATCGGTCCTATGTGCTATACTCTGATCGGAAGTCGATACTCATATTATGTTCGTAAATCAAAGCGGTTCTGTTTACTACTTAAATTTGGATCATGTAAACTTTCTATTGGAGCAGACCAGACCAAAGTTAACTTTTATAACTCAGGTCTGGTTCGGACAGAGCAGTCCAGATCAATGACTGATTTTAAGAGCAGATCTGATATCAAGTTAACTTTTGTGTAGGATTGGTTTTGATAAAGTTAACCTTGTCTAGAGTTAACTTCAATATTGGACCTGTCATATAGTTTACTTTTCAGGCAATTCTAGGACCAAGTCTGTTTTTAAGTTAACGTGAATTCTGTCTTAGGACTGGTCGGAGCAGTCATATATCCCGTCCAAAGTTAACTTTCACCAGTCATATTGTCTGGTCATTAAGTGAACTAGCTGAAGAGGTTAGGACTGTACTCATCTGTAATTGTGCTTTCGCTGTGTTGAAGACCCATTGGTGGCCATGAGCTGTTTTCTTCTCTTTGGTCAGGTTATTGTCTCTTTGACACATTCCCTGTTTCCAATCTCAATTTCATCATTTATTCACATTTCACTGTCTTAACTGTTGCAAAGTTCGTTGAATGTAACGAAAAATTGGAAATTCAAACCAAAGTCGAAATTGGACTCCCCGTAATAATGGAATTAACTCCCCAAATGAAATATGTTGCACGTTTAACCTTTTTTTAAGGGCCGGGAGAGCTTCGCTGTATCATAATAACGTTAGTTTTTGTGTTTGAAGGATTTTTTCGGGGAAAGAGGCAGTTTTTTTCAATTTTGTTATTTAGTTGCTTTTTTCATATTCGAATAAATTTACATAATAACAAGTATAGGTCACAACTGAGACCTTACATAGAACCTATGCTTGTAAAGTAAAGATAAGCATCCTACGTTCTGAGGGTCACTTTAAGACTCGATCTGAAAAGAAATTTTAGCATACCAGGGTAAAATACAAAAATAAAACCTTATGCATCAGAGGAAGTTGGTTATATTCGGATCTCTCGGGCATACAATATTGTTCATTCTGAAATATTTTTACTTTCTCTAAAGAATTAGTTTGTTTCAAGTAAAATAAACTCATGAAAGATACCAGGCTTGAAATTGTGTACGCTAGACGCGCGTTTCGTCTAAAAAAAAGATTCATCAGCGACATTCGAATAAAAAAAGTTAAAAAGGCAAAATATAAAAAAATCAGTCAAAGTAAAAGTGATACTTTCGACTTAATCGATGATGCTTTAAACAAACTGTATTCCAAGGATAACAAAACATTGTCAACGTTATATATATGCGAGTTGTTTTGTTGCACTCACTTCTAAAGTGCACGTTCGAGGCCCATACATTTCTTAAATATAAGCCATGATATACTAACAAATTACTTAATTATAGCATAGAAATATCTATAGCTATATATATATCATCACTGAGTAAATAAATCAGTAAAAAGAGGGATGGAGAATAGTCTAATTGACAATTACATCACATCTTTTTATTTTAATACAGTTATGTATAAATCATTTCGAAAATATGTAATTACTGGCGATATTTTATACATCATATATTAGGAATTAGAAATAATAGGGATCAAATACAAATAGTTAACACATTGCAGACTAACCAAAGGGAGTGCGTATGGATAAAAGTATTGATTTAGACTATGGACTCTTATTTAACAGTGTGTATCAGCTAGCAATACAAATCATCGATCGTGTCTCGAATATTTATACTCTTCCTGGATTCTACTCTTCCGTGTGTTACTTCTTCCTCAGTCCGTTATGTGTTTCCAGCGCTATTATTCAATTAAGGCAATATAATATAAGCATGATAAGCACAATTTTCAAGAAACCAATCAAAACTTACTTTGCTATGTGATAATGTCAAGATGACGTATATATCCTATAAAGCCATTACCTTATGCTGTAATAAGAGTCGAAATGCCTCTTTCGAACTTTTGAATACACCTTAATATTTTCTATAGTTCCATTGTTTCAAATTTTTTTTCAGGAGATGGGTTTCAGATTCCTGGAAATGGTTTTCTGATTTGACCTTGTCCGATTTAGCATCTACTACCGGTAATCAACTGGCACCGGGTTACTTTTTATGCAATACGCCACTTATTGTAAGTTAAGACACCGATACTAATACTAATAACCTTCAGATGATCAATCAATTAAAAATGAAAGTTAATATGTTGAGGCTAAATAAAAAATAGACAAAGATCATGATTAAAACAAAACGGAAGACAAAAAACACATTTGAAGTACTGTACTAGTTTCAATAAATCTAGGATGATGCTAGATGCGTTAGAACCAGGACATCATGATGGGAAAGCATCAAAGTAATTTTAAAGTGAAATGCTATTTTACATGTGCTTTTCTTCTTTTTCTTATATTCACAGGATCCATTGTTTGCGGAATATGTATATTCATACGAAAGAATGAGCGATGAAGAATTAAAAAAAATAAATATGCAAGCGAAATACAAGTAAGAAAATAAAACACTAAGTGTTGCTTAAGTTCACTTAAATGATTTGACGCCAATTTCCAAATCAAATATCGACAGTAACTTTATTTTAAGAGCCGTAACAACACAATAGTAGGCAGGTTTTTTTTACGGTTGTTGATTTGATCAATCATGTTCTATTTCGCCCTTCATATCAACAACATTCCTTTGTACAAACTGTTTCCACATTTCATGTGATCTCGAAATAAGCTGATGATTTTTGTACTGTCTAAAACAGGCCTTTTAAGTCAAAATTGGTGACGTTGTAATTTTTGAAAATGTATTAAATAATTACACAAAAGCACTAATAAAATTTGACAATCCAAAACCAGCTTTATGAAGTATCTTAAAGAACCACTTTAATAAACCACCTTAATAAACCACCGGTTATTGCTGTTCTTTGTCTTACAATTAAAGTGAGGCATTCAACATTGCAATGCATTCGTAAACTGGTCTCCTTGTTCATTTAGGTTTTATTTGGCGTTTTATAACAACTAATATAACCTCTGTTCTCATTCATTTAGATATGGTTACCGTGTAACGAGTATAATTACATGTCTGAAGAAATACCTACCATGGTTGACCAAACTGTAAGTTTATTCTGGTCGTAGTATTTTTTTTCGAATTTTTTATTATTATTTTTTACAATAAAAACAAGTATTATGTTTATAATCGATTTACGGAGAAACAAAGTTGCATGTTCGTTTTTCGAAAAATAACCAAACCAATTAAATCTCGGCCGAATATTTAAATATACGAAAGTCTTACTTTACGAGACTTGTATGTGTTTATTATGTCAACTTTTTCTGTATTTGTAGTCATCTAGATGGTGGAGGGATAATAGAAGGGAGGAAGATTGAAAATTTAAATGAGGTAAAGAATACCACTATTTCTTTCGTAATGATTAATCTGTAAGGATTAAAAAATATACAAATATGTGATTAGATGAAGAACATGCAAGACCTGTATTCACATAAATATAACTTAAGGATGTTCGCTCTTCTTGTTTTTTATTTTGTTGGCAGATATTCGGAATCCTCTGGTTTTATCCATGTAATGCCAATAAAATTTTCGCCCGCTAAACCCTACTTTTTTCTTTTGATGATTTTATTACATAAAGTTTAAAAAGTCATATTTGAAAATTTTATAAAATCCTTGTTATTTTATTATTTTTTTTAAAGAAAACAGGTGCCAATGTTAGATGTATGAAAAATCTAAAGAGAATCAGTTCCCGCCAAATTTTCAATAGCTTATATCTCGAAAACAAGCACACGGACCATTCATTTTGTTCTGCTTTTTTAGTTCCTTTATTTATATACTATCAATTTATAACAGTCTTCTAAAAAGCTTGTTATTTTGAAACAGAGTAGCGAACATCCTTAGGGAGAATGTCGTTTATCATATTTATCATGAGTTCTATTAGGAGAATATTATAATTTGCGTTAAAAAGTTTGTGGATCACATTTTGAGAAATATTTTTCACTATTTAAGGGCATACGATACAGTTTTGTTCCCACAGTTATTTTTTAACAAAAATTTGCATACAAGCTTTTTTTAACCTAGTCAATTCAAATATGTAATAAAAAATTTACCGTCATGTGCTAGTTTTAGAGATAAATGGGATCGAAATTTTAGACATTTACTCAAATTTCGGTTTCTTGGACATTTCTATCTTTTGAACCGACATACCTATGTTTTTTGTTTCAAAAGATAATCACAAGCGGAGCTTTGTAAAAAAAACATTTAGAATATCGTCTTTACATTAGTATTCTCTAAGTTTGTGTAACAATTCTTTCGTAATAATTTATTTTTATCTATTTTTTTTAGAAAAAAACGGCATTTTTTGCTGTATATTCATTCAATTTAAAAAAAATCATCGGTGATGTCTTCATAAAAAATTGGTACAAATAATCGTCATACATAATCAAGCCAAATGTTATTTTTTAAAAGAAGGGTCCATGTGCTTGTTCTCAAGCTAATGATTAAAATAAGTCGAAAAATACATCTTTTCCCGATATTTTACAGTTTGACGTAGCAAAACATGATTTTAGTAAACATTGGAATATCGATCGGTTGATGTGGCAAAAGCACAAACCCGTCTAGTATGTGTCAAAGTCGACTGCTCCTGAAAAGTCTAGACGATCGTCCCCATAGTTTTCCGTCATAAGTTATTGGTAATATTGACATAAAAATTCCGTGAGAAACAACATACGAGTGGATTTCAGATGCAGTCTTGGCATACTTGTAACATTTTCAAAATTTTTTCATAAACATTTCTCTCTGGAGAAATTTTTTGAATAATGGTTTAAGGAGGATAACTCTAGTCCCTGTAATTTCGTCTATTTAGTGATACAATTAGACTATATGCTTAAAGTACATTGATATCCTCGTCAGTTGGTGGAAAGTTGTCTTATTTTAAAATCATACCACACCCTGTAATTCAGTGATTGCATTCGGTTGTTGTTATATTTGTTTGTCGTTTATTGTTTTGTTATAAGTTGGTTTTCTCATTAGAATTGTTTCACAATTTGGAATGTCGATGACCTTTATAGCTGACTTTATGTTTACGCCTATAGTTGCTTACACACTCTGTTTGATAGTTATCTTACTTACAATCATACCACATTTCCTTTTTCTATACTTAAGGTCAAAAAGGTAAAAAAACAAATGCTGATACACTTTGATACTAGTCAAGGGGTTACTCTTTACGGCATTTCTGTTTGCACATTACTCTCAAGTGCAGCCACGGATATAACTGAGTAAACGGCATGGATTTGTTTGAGCAGGTTAAGTACTTATAACTGGTTTTCAGTAATTACAATTTTTTTACATACACTGTATTTGTGGTCCTGTTATTGATCATACGGTAATCTGAGTAGGATGCAAAATAAAACTGAGGGAGGCAAACAATTGGTTATGAAAAACGCATTAAAGTAATTTTATAGGAAATTTCTATTTTGGTTGGCGCAGTAAACAGAAAAGGTTCGATAAAGTCCCCAATACGGCCCCAATTTCTAGATTAAAGTTCAAATGATGGTTAAATGTTTATTATCACAATGTATCATATTTGAAACAATAACTAGATACAAGTAAATAAGAAATGTGTCTTCTTGTGAAAACTAATGAATAAACTTTCCATCTCTAACGTCAAAATTAACGTTTTAAAAAAAATAAATGAAAATATTTTTTGTTTAGGACCGGAAATATATAGCACACGCATAAACAAAAGATCTTTTAACATTTATGCGATTTATGATTTAATCAATTTATGACTATTGAACAGCGGTATACTACTGTTGTCTTTATTTATGGTTGTTATTACAAAAAACTTATTTGACATGATTATATGATGTGATCTCTATGATTTGCAGGTTAAAATCTGCATGAATATTCCAATTTTTACAAATTTCACAAGAAGGGGGATATATCATCGAATTAAAAAAGAGTCTTCTGATTTACAAAAACCGATTTCATTTGTATACGCCAAAGTTCGTCAGTCCGTCCGTCGACGCTTTATATGATAACTCAAATTTGCCTAAACTAATTTCGTATTATTTTAACATAACATTTGGATGGACGGAAGAAAGCAGCCTTTAGCTTTTGAAAGTTTTTGGTTTTTTCGTTCTAAAGTCACGGGACTTTAACCATAAGATTTTAGACAATTTTGCACACATTGCTCGGAAACTCCACAATAAATAGATCGATTTCTTCAAAACTTTACATTATAGTTTGAATTCATCATAGAAACCTCCTTTTTGGTTAGTTCTCTTCATTTTTCTTGTTTTGTCGTAACAGAGTAAAAATACTTTAATTTGCAGATTTAAATAAATTTTTCGTATGTTGCACCATAACTTGAGTTTGCTTGGATATTTAAATGCCATGCACTAGCTGTAGTATGCTTGAATCAGAATCCTACAAAGTAAAAACTGATGTTTCGATTTGTTAATATAGACTCACTTTTTGATCTTGAAAATTTCCTGGTTTGCAATGACGAGTTATGGGACTAAGTATCCCATTTAATTCTTGCAATAAGTTCAAGATGCGCAATTAGGTTGCATTATGCGCACTTGGCGCAGCTGCTTATTTGAGTTGTACCACCAACTTAATGAAGTGAAACCATACTATTGCAGCAGTTTATTCTACCATGCATCATCTTATTATTGACCTGAATTGATTTTTAGAGTCATGTTTACTAAATGAACAGGAATTTTTGGTAATCTTCATTTTTGTTATTGCTTTTAAACAACATTTTACTGGTGATGTATAAATTATTTGTACTAAGTTAATCATGCGCATTTGATGTCCGTCTACTGTTCGTGTGATTTAAAAATGTTTTATTTCATTGTCGTCGTGTCTGTCTGAGATCAGTAGTAATAGAAGTACTCAGATTCAAAATGTTCATAATGTTAGCAGCAAAGTAGTTTTTTTTTAATTTTTAGCTTGTAGGTACATATGACGTTGTAGTAAACTGTACGGGACTTGGTAGTAGAAAACTTTTGAATGATGGAAAGATTCACTCAAACAGGGGACAGATCATTGAGGTAACTCTACGAGTAAACTTATTCAACTTCAACTTCCATGGGCTGTATTATATGCAATCTATACGTATTAATAAAAATCATAAATCTAATAAGAATTCAATATATTTGATTGATTTACTGAATGTTAGGTTTTTAACGTATTTTTAGACCCATTGGCTATATCGTGGCGGCCAGTTTTTATTAGTTGAGGAAGCTAGCGTGCCCGGCGGAAATTACCGGCCTTCGGCAGGAAAACTGACAATCCGTGCCAGTTACGATTGGGGTCTAACGCATCTGCCACATGCTGGGTTCAAACTCGCAACCTCAGTGTTGACAGGATCGACGCTGAAGTTGACAAAAAAGACTTAAATGTGGGTTTCGTTTCAAAACACAAAAGTGATTTAAAGTTGTCAATAGCAAATGTGCATGTATATCAACTAAAACTTGTGTTAACACTGTTTTTGATATAGAACTGATATCAGCCTTTCTTATGGCAGATGTCCCGTAAGAAACATTATTATAAAACAGTTTCATAATAAATATTCCGTATGGATAGGATATTCCATAACATCTGTTCAATGAACGTGGGGATTTAGTATTATAAATTCAATAATATATATTCCATTTGAAACACTGATAGAGGGCAAGGTCATTGCAGAAAGGAAATGGATTAAGAAATGAGAGAAGGGAAGCTGATAGAAAGGAGTTGGGAATGAGCGAAACTTAACCCCAGCCCAACCTTATGATTTAAAGCTATACATACTTGGTATCCTTAATGTTTGCGTTTTAAAAATCATTTACCCAAGCCCTTTATACTAAAAAGAAGGGGTTACTTGTGGTCAGAACTTTTGAACGGGTTGCACGCAATGCTAAACCATCTTATTATATAATATGATGGAAACCGGGCTTGCTAATAAATTCCTTTCAGTTTTTGAAATAAGACCTTTCATATTTGACACAATGTATGTTTATACATTGAACATGTGCACCTCCTTTTATGAATTCATTTTGGATCTTTCGGAGGCTGAAACTCCGTGAATTTTCGGCATCATTGTATATATGACTAATGTGACACTTTAAGGGCCCTTAATAGAGCTTGAAGATGATTTAAAGTATAATAATATAACTATAACGTACCCAGGAACTGTTAGACATGTGTGCATCTTTTTTAAACTTTAAAATGTTACAATGTAGTTTAAGAGAAGATCTGAGAAGGTTTGCTCAAGTTTTGATGTTGTCCCTGGTCGGTAATTCTCATTTGTGTGTTGCTTCAATGTTGAGTTGTGCATCGATAGTGTAGTTTTTTTAAGATGCATATTTTTTTTTAATTCGGTCACATAGGAAATAGTCATTCAATAAACACCAAGTTCATGACGTTTGTTTTTTCATATCTTAAAACCGTTATCACTTTCAAGAGAAAATAGTAAAGTAGAAATATAATTTCTCTTTGTAGGATGAAAGTTGCAATTATGTTCATGTTCTTATTTGCCAAGCTTAACTAACATAGATTATTTAGTCTATAAAACTCATCAAGTTATAATATAGGAATGAGCTCTTCTAGTGTGTAGCACACTTTAATATTTTATTCAACCAGACAATATACTTAAAAACATCATCGAATAGCATATCAGCATTTTCTTTAAAATGTTCTTTCTCATGCAAATATATCACTTTGTCAATCGTTTTATTTTGATATCAACTATAAGCATCTAAACAATAAGAACGGATTCGTAACAAAGTAAAATAACAAAAATACCGAACTCCAAGGGAAATTCAAAACGGAAAGTCCTTTAAAAAACGGCAAAATCAAAAGCTAAAACACATCTAACGAATGGAAAACAACTGTCATATTCCTGACATGGTACAAGCATTTCCTTATGTAGAAAATGGTGGATTAAACCTGGTTTTATAGTTTTATAGCTAGCTTAAACTCTCTCTTGTATAACAGTTGCTTAGAATTCCTTTATACTGACAACAATGTGCGAGTAAAACAAACAGGCATAATAGGTAAAAACGTCAAAAATTGGGGTACAGCAGTCAACATTGTAATATAATCTTAATCACCATAAAAACAAATAACTCTTTCAACAAAGAAACAAAACAAACCAAATCGTGCATTAACAAATGGTAGATTAACTGAATAAGATTAAAAAACGAATGAATGTAATTATTTATTTGTGTTTTAAGCTGCATGATGATTGGATGATTATGTGTGTTAATAGCAACATGCTGATTGGATGTTTATTTATGTTAATAACTTTCAGCTGATTAAATGGTTATTTGTGTTAATACGTTTAATGTTGTTTTTGGTATTTATTTGTGTTATCGGCTTCATGTTGATTGGATATTTATTTATAACATTAGCTTCATGCTGATTGGATAAAGTATTGGATTTACACGGACGATGGAGCTTATTTATTACCTTAGTAAGTATGTTAATATAGGATGCAGTTTCCCACTGAGAAGACGCCGTCGAATCACCAACGGCCATTAATGCAAAAATAAAGACGGCGATACTAATTTGACAATCAACACTATTTTCTTTAGAGAAACTACATAGAAAGCGAAACACAGAGCAAAACAAACCTAATCAAATAATTATGGATAATTTAAGGCGCTCCGAAAAGGTTAGCAAAAACTCCTCAACTAGTGACACATTGCCTCATCCGGTGATTTTGCAAGTACTACATGCTTTATACTTATATCAATTTTTTAAAACACGCAGTACATAAACGAATTTTGCAGAAGGTGTTTTTTTTAAATAATGAATTTAATTTTTTTTTAAATGTGAAAAAACAAGACAATTCAATATTTAAGAAGGAGTTATGATATGACTGGCAATGGGACTCCTTTAAAAGAAAGACCAAATTAAGATGATGTGAATATCGACGGGTAACCCCGTAGTCCTTACGATGTGCAACTGAATCAACCTGGTAGACACAACACAGACACACATAATGTATACATGTAACAATCGAAAGTACAACAATGAGTATGATGTATCATGGATGTTATATGACCAGATGTTGGTTATACGAACATACAACAGCACAACTACACAATTAAACAAGAGTATTCCGGAGGTCATCATGACGTCTTCAATAAAAGATAAACCCAAAAATTAAAAAGCTCAGGCGATAAAATAACATAAACAGGTGAGGAGAGTTATGTTCAAAAGGGACACAAATGGAATAACTAAATCCTTCTAAAGTCACCCTTTACGTGAGGGAACTATAATGTCTTAATAATATCTAAATTTGTTAACAGAAAACTTATTAATGTTTATTTACGAATCATTTGAACTCAGTATATAATACTGTAAATTTGAAGGACAATTAAGATACATATATGTGATAAACAAGACACGATTCTTAATATCCTGTGTTTTTTTCCTCCTCAATAGCGATGATATTGTAAAAATTGGTGGCGTTCGACAAATGCATAATTACAACATTGAAGTCGATGAAAATGATCAACGAGAAATAAAAGAAAAATGCTACAGGTTATGGCCTCCTCTTCAGGTATGTGTATATTAATATAGTTTATAGATTTTTTTGGGGTAGCCAGATGAATAATAAATTATCTTCTTCAGTATTTCTTTATTATGTTTTTCCTTTGTTGGATTTATTGATTGATTGGTATTTACCTTTACACAGTAATTATCGAATTCCCAATCAGAATGTCACATGATTATTTGGTGCTTTTTACTGGTGATATTATTATCAACGTGCTACCTCATAAAGTAACAGTCTTTCCTTAAAAATGAAAGCAAAGGACTAGGATATATACATTTCATCTTTAAAGTTATTTTAGGCGACAAGGTTTAATTGAGAATTAAAAAAAAAACAATTTAATAACATTGTCGTCAAATATAAGTTTTGATAGGAACTCAACGTGTCTCGTTTTTTCGTTTCTCAATATAAATAATCTATAAATTTTCCGGCAGGGTTAACAGACTTGTGACGAGATAGAGCTTAATATGTTGTATAGATACCCATCCATTTCTATGTAGCAACATTCCAGCAGCGCCTGCATACGGAGTATATATCTCCCAATTGATACGATATTCCCGGGCTTGTATTTCCTATCATGATTTCCTTGATATAGGATTGTTGCTCACAAGGAAGCTATTAAACAAAGGTTCCAAATAGTGGAGTTGAAATCATCCCTTCGTAAATTTTACGGACGCCATCACCAGTTGGTTGACCGGTATGGAATAACCGTTTCACAGATGATTTCGGATATGTTCCTTATGTCGTAACTACAATACCCTTCCTTTTTCACGAATGTGACCTACCGAATTAGTCTATATACCAGATTTGTAATAACATAAGCAACACGACGGGTGCCACATGTGGAGCAGGATATGCTTACCCTTCCAGAGCACCTGAGATCACCCCCAGTTTTTGGTGGGGTTCGTGTTGCCTAGTCTTTAGTTTTCTATGTTGTGTCATCTGTACTATTATTTCTCTGTTTGTCTTTTTATTTTTGGCCATGGCGTTGTCAGTTTGTTTTCGATTTATGAGTTTGACTGTCCCTCTGGTATCTTTCGTCCCTCTTCTATCTATTGTTGAAGACTGCATAATTCTTCCTAGATATATTTTGGTTATTTCTGTCAATTAGTATGAGTTGTCATAATTTGAGGATAGAGTCATGTATTTACAACTTTGGAAAACAGAACCTGTGAGTAAAGTAACATGAATAAAATCAAAGATGCAATCCTCATTTTTGTCCAATATTAAATGAATATGACTAGATGGTATAATAAGATAAATCAGAAAAACAAGAATTTTGTTAACTTGTCATTCTTTTATAATAAACCCTGTAATGATGTCTTGGTCTGAAAAATTATGACTTGCTTTATGATATAAGTAGTTTCATACTACAATGTTATCTGATGCAATATTACTGCCCATAAATATTATTTGCCATACATATACATGCGTTTTGAATTAATCCGGTAATTATGTTCTAACTAGGATTTACCCTTTCAAGGCTTATATGCAAGAACATACTTATGTGTTGGTCAAACTCTCAGTTTTTGTTCTACCTTTCAGTATCTTTAATGTATATGCACATGTAAAATTGTATTGTATCTCAAACATTACTGTTGTATTAGTCTTTAGTTCCCTTCATTGACACTTGCTGGACACTTGTAATCTATAAACTATAATGGGAGATTGCATGGTAGATTGAAGGCAAGATCTGAATTTGCACTTGTAAACTTATTGGGAATGTAAATTTGTGTAATTTTTGGTATAAAAAAGTAATTGAAAATAGATAACAGTAATGCATTCTCAGTAATAGATTCAATAACTAGTCGTATGCCATGTTAAACCAGACGTTGACCTATCACAAGTGGGTGGTGCCCCGGGATGGTATCGAAAGCAAAATATTGTTTTTAAACCTCCGCTGATGTAACTCAAAAAGACAAATGAGACAGCGTAGTTCATCGGGTTAGATGCATTTGAGTGAATTTTTGCCAAACAAGCTTCATACCAATATTGTTGATGCCTTCAATGCGTGGGCGTCTAAACCAAGACAGAAACTAAATAAAAATAGGAATAAAAGAAGATAAGAGTAATACGTAAAATAAACACAACAAACTGCCATTAACAATAAGCTTATGTACCAATTATCCCGGGTCTATACAAGTTGTATCTTTCTTACTGATCTAAACCATATTCAGAATAGAGAATGATATTCTTGTATTTAATTTGTATTGTTATGAATGTCGATAATCAATGACAAACAAGAATCTGTTTTGATTCAAATATTTACAAAGCAATAACATAAGCTGTTACCAATTTTGTTATTGAAATGCAAATTAATATTACAAAGTCGCATAATGCACAACGGGATCGTGTGTTCTTCTCTGTATGTATTGCTTGGTACACACTTTACATTTACATCAATACTACCAGTAGATGAATTTAATAAGGACTGATAAAAACATTTTACTTACAGAACGTTTTTACTGTAAAAAAATCAAAAACATAAGAAGAACACAATGATTCGGGTAAAGGAAATATAAAAATTCCGAACAAATCATGCTCACGATAATATTACAACATGACAATATGCAACTAAAATGAGTGAAAACATGTTGCCTACCACGTAGGCCACACTAATTAAGCTATTCGAAATAAATGCACCTTAAGAAAGCTTAATTGTACTGTACGAATCGAAACATACATGTAGTACTCCACAGTAATGTAGTGTACTTGTACATTACCGACACATATATATCTTTGATTCATTTCAATGCCAAATTAATTATTTTTTTATGTATCGTAAACAAAAGTGTCGACCAGATCTGCGTCCTCTGCGATAAACTGAATTTAGAAAGAGTAACTTAAATTCTTTTTTTGTTGTTGGAATTGCTTGTATATCCCTCTTGTATTCATATCCATAGTAAAAATATATGCCGCATCATAAAATTAATATTTTGAATCATTAAGCATTTTTCATACATGTCATAAAGCTATACTTTCAAAGGGGAAAATATCTATATCATACGATATCTAGGGAATTAAAAGATTTCCAGCCCCATTATCGACTTCGTAATTTTTCTATCAATGCTCATCGAAGAAAATATTTACAAAATTTACAGAAAATTTTGCATACTAGTAATTCCTATAATCAAACATATTACCAGGGAGCCGATATAGTAAAAGAATGGGTAGGACTTCGCCCAACTAGAACACCTCTACGGTTAGAAGCAGAGTTGATAAAGTTCCCAACGGGAAAACTAAAGGTAACAAATAAAAAGGTTCCGTTATGATTTCACATTTTTTCGTTAAATATGTTTTCAAGTGTGTACATCAACATAAGATAAAAAAGAAATTTTATGTGAGAGTATTTGCTAACAGCAATTGTCTACCTAAAGTGATTCAGGTATATGAATATATATTTTGTAAATGAGGAGCAGAAAAGATTTAATATGTATTTACGTGATTGCCTGCATGACAACAATATAAACGTCACCTTTAATGGTATTGATTTATTTAAGTGTTCATTTGATTTCAAATGTTGATGGCGCAATATTTTTTACGAAACTTACTAATAACATTGTAAAGGTACTTGGAAGGAACCTGGTATTTACGCATTTATATTCTGACTCCTATTTTTTTTTTACTGTTCAAAAAATGGCAATTGCCAAAAAACAAAAATATCAGTTCTTTTAGGTCTTTCAAAGTCTCTCAGAAAATGTATGAACAACTTTTCTAGGATCAGATCGATTCATTACCACTTACTTTTAATTGAAAATTACTCTTGATGCCTTGTGTGCTCCATTTGGTTGCCATTATATGAACTTTTTTTTCAATAATAGGGATATTCATGTATATTGAGTATTTTGTAATCACTATTGCAGGTAGTCCATAACTATGGTCATGGTGGTGTTGGAATTGCAATAAGCTGGGGGACAAGTCTACATGCAGCAAAATTAGTAAAGGATATATTGCAATCTGAAAGTCGATTGTAATCTGCAATCCTAATTATAAATACTTCCTTCAAATATTTTATAAACTTGTTATTAGTTAATGATTTAAAGAAGGTTTGATTTAATTAATTTATGTATTTATTTTTTTTTTGCTATTACAACCGCCATATGAAAAGATCAGATGAATTCACAACACAAATGCGTGTGTACTTCTGTAAACTTGACCATGAACAAATACAATGTATTTGTACGTTAAACTACATAGTAATATAACCAAAATAAAGAGTAACAAAAACACCGTACTTCAAAAAAAAAATACATAAAGAGAGAAGTCTACGTTAGACTTTATCAACCAACGGAACGAACAGAAAACAACTGTCTTATCCCTGACTTGGTATAGGCATTTGCCGGTCTACAAATAAGTCACATGACTGAAATTGTTACTGAAAATTCAAACAGCAAAACAGTCAGCAAGACGAGATTTACAAAATCATTAGTTGATTTCTTCTAGCAATAAATGCTTGAAAGAAAAGATTTTGCCTTTATGAAAACTACAATAGATAAAGAGAATTCGAAACAGCAAATACCGGCATAATCACTTATACATGATCTGCAAAACACGTGACTGAGATCGCAATTCGTTTCGATAAAAAAAGCCATTACGTCTTAATGACGATTTCTTTTCGGTTCTACTCCTCTTGTTTTAATTTGTGAATTTGCTGGATTAGATACAATGGAGGTTCAGGTAATACCCTAGGTAGTACTTCAATAATTCGAAAACACACTTAACATATATTATGGTCAATAAACGGGCTTCGATGATAGTAAATTGTCAATATGTATTATTCAATGAGTATGTAGACTACTTGCAAATGAATTTAAAAATGATTGTTGTACAAAAAAAAATTATTAGATTGTTAAGTCATATATGCAGCAGATTGAGTCATATGTAGAATTGTAAACTACATTATCAAAAAAAAGAAAAAAAGGAAACAAATGGAAAAGACAAATGGGGGACTAGGGAAAAGCTGAAGTTTATGCTTAATCATGTTAATTAGAAGAATGATAAACGATTAAATGATGATCTTATTACTGGGTTTCAAATATCAGATAATAAATCAATCATATTTTCTGTCACTGGACGCAATTTAACCCTTCCACATTTGCATTTTAGAATTTGTACAATTGAAAATACGAAACAAAGTTGTATGTCATATTTAGCTGAATGTAATATGACCATCAGAAACCCTTAATTTCAGATTACATCAAATCGGTCGTTTTGAATTAAATTACATACATTATTCTTATTACTCCGGCAGATCGGTGCAAAATTGGATTTGATGGTAAAAGCGCCAAATTTGGCATGGTAGTAGCTCTGGGAATTTCAAACAATATTAGCTATGAACCAATCTTGCAATTTTAATATGGCGGATTTTTCCAAGATGGCTGCCATAAATTATCAAAAAGAACATATATCACATATATAAGGTCAAATTCAAGGCCAAACCGGAACAGTAGAACTGGGAAAACAGATTTTAGCACAACAAAGAGTAGTTTTGCTTAAGGTATTCATATGGGAATGACATCGTTGAGAACCTCATGTGATTGGTTATTGAACGAGTGTTCAATCAGGAAAACATAGTATTTCATGAACAGCAGATTATTTTTAGAGGCTCTCATGCATCATGAACAAGACATTTCCATGAGATTACAATAGGTGTACTTCTCATTCTTATACAAAGATCCTAACATAATTTTTACGGAAGAAAGAGACCCTGGTGAGAACCATTTAACATTCAAAGAATGAAGTTATATGGGGAAATTGAGTCCACTTAACCACAACTGGTCTGTAACACTAAAGACTGAACTGATGTGCGATCATTAAGGGAATGTTTCTTCTGTCTGTATATAGGTGTCATTGTACTACCTAATCAATGATTCTTTGCATTTTTTAAACCTAATTATGGCTCCTAGTACACGTGTGCGATTTAACTATACAGTTCAAGTGGTGCAAACGTAATAAAAATGGTAAATGTAAAACAAGCCAAGAGTACAATTACACACTTGTAAACAGGGAAGGGTGGGCACAAATACAGCGTATAAATCTGGTGTCTTGTCTAGAAATTGCTATAGTAATTAACAAGTTTCAGTCCACCTTATAAGCATATGAAAGCTTTAGATTGGGGAATGTTTCGGCCTTTTTCCCAGAGTGCTAATTCGACTAGATGGGGTTGGCATATACCCTATTGGACATGTATTACAAAAGTATCACCATTTTGGAATGAGCTAATATAATGTGGTTGAAAGATATTAAAACGAAAGATTAAAAGTGCGAGGACAATGATGATATGTGCATTGCTGTTTAAAATATGGTGAGGAGTTGTGCAAAGACAAAATGGGCTGTTCTTAATAAACATTTGGAAAACTGCTGTGAAAATGTGTTGTTGTTTAGATGAGAATAAAGATGAAGAAGAAGCTTAGGAATTCAAAAATCATTATAGAAACAAAACCAGATATCAGCATGGATAAATAAAACGCAAAACGACTAATAACAGTCAATACATCTCTACACAAAAATCTAACAATTGAGCAACACCAACCCCTCATAAAACAGAGGATGATCTCAGATGCCCAAGAATAGCTTGATGAGTTATATCCAGTATCACCAAATTAACAACATGCTGGTTTATGTAAAATACCTAAAAGTTGACCAAATGTGAAAGTTTGAAATGAAACAAGGTTTTCCATGCCTGTACGATGGATAAACACGACTTTCACTGGTTGACAACACAGACATTGAAAAATAAAGAACAAATAACACAACATTGCCAGCATAAACAACACGAGTCTCTTTTCATCAAAACTAAGGGTCAACGCAGGTGTTCCAGAAGGGTGTCTAGTTTCTGGCCAACTAAAAACGTTCGAATGTTTCCATTTATGAAATATTTGATTGAATTGTCTTGCAGGCAGCATCGATGTATCATGAAAACACAATCCTCAGAATATCGTATGAACTGCAAAGTGCTATTCGATCGAAGGAATTAATATCAGCAGAATCTTGTCTAAGTTTATTTCACTTTCACTTTTTGACGAGACGACCATTTTGAAATATTCCGCCATTTAAAAAACGTTTTAAAGTCTAATATACCGCCACGACTTACTAGAAACGTTGGATTACATTTTATATGCTTTTACATAATTTAATTTGAATATTATTTGCTCTGATTTATACATGGTGGTGAAATTTTGACTGATTGGCAGCCATCTTGAAAATGGCAGCCATATTGAATTTTTCAAAGTGAGCCCATAGCTTACATTGACTACCATATATATATATCTACAAAGTTTCATGCTATTATCATCAAACCCACAATTCTTATATAAAATATGCACGAATCAGCTGGGCTATTAAGGCATATTCAAATTCAAAATATTTAATAGTAGGTCAACTTCTTGAGTCAACTACCCATTAAAGAATAAAACTATGAAGGTCACTGAATAAAGTTGAATTATTGATTGCCCCTTAAACGTCCTGTAATTCATATTTAGGACGAAATGGAAAGTGTATCGACCGAGAACTAATGTTAAAAAGATTAGACTGACTGCTATTGAATATCTGTTTCACAGATGACGACGGATATGTTTTTATGACGAAAGTGATGACTTCAGCTTCCCATTGTGAACTTTCCATTTCTATGTAGCAAATTTTTCCAGCAGCGCCTGCATACGGAGTATATGTATCCCAGTTGATACGATACTCCAGGGCTTGTATTTCCTATCATGATTTCCTTGATAGAGGGTTGTTTGTTTTCTACTCATAAGTTTGAATATCCCGTTGGTATCTTTCGCCTCCATTTTTGATTAAGATAGCACGTTGGTAAGAGGCATGAAATAAGCCTTAAAAGAATAAAGTCGTATCCTGACCTATATCGCAAAGCTAGCTTTTCATTGTTTTGAAATTGCACATGCTTCCCCTTCCGGAGCATCTGCCATCACCCCCGGTTTTTGGTGGGGCACAAAAACATTGTGGCTGGGTTAAACCAGTTTGTGAGCGGTCAAACCAACCCTAACCGGGGAAAGTGGTGTTACAGCACAGCATAAGAACAAAATATCAAAATCAGATGAGAAGAGGTTAATTCATCAGATCGATACAAAGCAGAAAAACATCGAACAAAAACATAGACAGGACGTGGCAAGGTATTTATTCATCCCTATAACAACAAAAAAGACACGAAGTACAGATCTGAGAGTACTCGCAGTTACAGATAGCTAATTCAAAGCCAGTAACAACTAATAAACAAAATCATGTATTTAAGACTAAAATATTAATCATTTCACATCCAACATCCAATGGATTTAGTGTAAAGACGTCATGAACAGTTAGAAAAAAAACATGACCTTGTGCAATGCTAAAACATAGGTATCGACAGATTGTCCGCTATAATCTATTCTATCCCATTAATTTATTTAATATTCGATATTCTTTATTTTTTTCGTCTTGTTTCTTTATATTTTATTATTGGCCCTCCACTTTATGCCTGTCTTCTCTGTTCTTTAAAAATTACCTTAATATATAGATATTAACCAAACGACAATAATATAGGGATTTAATTTACTCATTTATAAGATAAAAAATCGTTATTTTGAAAAGATGGAATTTAAAAATATAAATTTACCCCTGAATTTTATAAAACTATATTAAAATGTATGATGTAATTAAAATCCAACACATGTGTAATATTTGAATAATTAAATGATGTACTGCCATTTAACCGGTCCGTTTTCGATGCAATTAGGTCACTGTGTCTAAGGTCCGGTACGGTGACGGACCATCAACAGACAGAGAAAAGGTTGGTATCTGCTTATTTTTTAGTTATTTCTATGAGGTTTGAAGAAAATAAATACACATATAACTATTTTCAATTGTTAGATTTAATATTTTCTACAACCGTTCTAGATTGACGGAGAAATAAGAAAAAAGGCACATCAAAATGGTGAATTGAGTGAACCTTGCTTCGAATTCTTGAATTTCTCCTTAAATTGTGCACTTTGTTCGGAAAGAAAGGTACAGAAAGAAAGATATCAACATGGAGATTGCAAGACTAGTCTCAATGTTGGTATTTATGTGC